ACTCCTGCCCCGGCCCCTTGTTGCATCTGCTCGATGAGCTTTCTTTCCCATCTGCAAAACGCAAGAGACGAGATTTGTATCAGAGTAAGATCCGGGAGCTGCCCCAGAATAAAGGCAGCCCATTGCCGGAGTTGGGGGTATTGCGCTTTGATGGCTAGTAGGCAGAATGAGAGCTCAGATAACATCTTTTTGATGCGTGGATGCGTAGGTTGGGATCTTAGGACAGATCTTGCGTAGGGGCATGTAGAGTAAGGCATTTGGGCAGGGATGTTGGGTTGCGATGCCCGTGGTTGGGCGCCAACAGCCGGCCAGCTCTTAACTCTAAGCATCTCTAAGCCCTACGCCCTAAACCCTCGACTATGAGCGTGATGGATGAGGGGAGGCTGCAGCGGTGGTGCCTACAAATGGTGAAGGGTCGGTGATGCCGTGTGAGCCAAAAACAGGGGCCGGATTTCAAGGGTTCTAGACTCTCCGCAGTTTGGATTAACGCGTTCGACAGACAACACTAAACTAACACTTTTCGGGGGCCCAAAGTGCGACTGGAAAGGCTCGAGCAGATTCGCGACGATCGCTTTCTCGAGATGGAGAAGCAGCAGCGCAGCTGGAATAGGGGATGATGTAGGAGAAGCTCTTTCGGGATGCCTTGCGAAGCTTGGTCTCCCCCTTTCGAGTGTTACGAGTTGTTCATAAGTTGAAGGGGTGTTTGATTGCGCGAGCTGCGAAATCCGCCAAAATACCGACTCTCAGGAACTATCGCAAGATGTTGGAGCGCGAGATGAAGGCGAGGCATGAAAACGACTCGGTTTCGGCCGTCGCCTCCAGCACACTTCGCTTCATGCGAGGAGCGAGAGACAAAGGAAGAGCTCTCCAAAATTGCGGCAAAGGCCCAAAAGGACCGCCAGTTACCACAGGGCAGGGCACTGAAGTGCACAGGGTCCTATGGAGTCTCGTCACATTCTGTTGCACTTGGCAGGAGCAGCTTGCTGAGTACAAGGAGAAGCGCTTCCAGGAGGCCCAAAGCTTGGCGGCCGCAGGTAGAGCCTCGGTTCTTTAAGTCGTACCTCCTCTCACAGGTCGAGGACGCCATGCTGGAAGGAGAGCTGCTCCGTCGCAAGGCCATCGAGGTGCCGCTCCGATCCGTTCGTGCTTCGAACTTCGAAAGGATTGCAGCATCACAGTCGCTTGAGACTGCTTGAAAATTCGCCCCAACCTGCACTCAGGATTTGGAGGCCGAGCGGGCAGCTGAGAAGAAACGCCGCGAGATGGCGATCAAGGCGAGCACCATCTGCGACTGCAAGGTTTTCCCAAATCGTTGCTGGTATGCATTTATGCATGCGAGGCCCAGAAGGAGACGCAGAAAGCCAATGCTTACCTCAAGCAGATCAAGGCTCCGACTGCTTCCTGGGCAGTGACACAGCAGAACCACGTAATGGTTGATAGAAGCGGGTGGACACGACAACACTTACGGGTCAGGCAGAAGACATGCTCCGTCAGCAGAAGGAGGAGGAGAAGATACAGGACAGGAGGGATGCGGTCCTCCTCAGACTGCTGATGATTGCTGACACCTTGGGAACTGGCGAAAGGCAAATCGATGCTTTGGCGCCAGGAGTATGCACAGCGGAAGGAAAAGATGCTGCAGCTCCGCAAGCAGAAGGAAGAAGAGGTGTTTCAGTCGAAGCAGGCTGTGATCCAGCCAAAGCAGACACAATTTCAGACGTATGTCGTCATGTCTCTGCACCTTGGTGCAGGCCGCTCGAAATGCCATGATCGATGCACAGGCCTTCCGCGGCCCAAGAACATGCATGCTCGTTTCCGATGGTTGAAGATTGTTTTGCCGAGGTCGATGTAAACCGCAGGTTTTGTTGCCGGATTGGCATGAACTCAGAGTTCAGAGTCTGCTTATTGCACATCTTCATTGGAGTGCGAGAGCTCCAGCATCCAGCTCGAACCTGAAAATCCAAGACCCAGTGCTGTTGACAAGAATGCACCAGCAAGTCTAGCGGCGGGCACCCTACTTTGAAGAGGCCAAGCGGTTGGCTGAGATGCAGAGCAGCGAAGACGCCCGGGTAGAAGGGCAGGTCAAGCAGAAGGAGGCCGTGCCCAGCTCTTTATGAATCATTAAAGCTCCTCGTCCCCGTACTCCTTCCGAGCCTCGCAATTTGTGAGGCTGCGGATGAGAAGAAGCGGCTCGATAAGCTAGAGATGATGAGAAGGCAGAGGGGTGGGGGAGTCAGAGGAGAAGGGTAAAGTGCTTGAGAGCTCACTCACAAGAGTACGTCAAGACGTTTTCAGGTGGGAGGAAGACATTCAAAACAGCCGGCAGGCCGGAACCTGGGTTCGACACACTCAGAACACTTTTTGAAGAGTACAGAAGAGTATAGAAGAGTATCTGAGCAGAGCTTGACGGCGATCTGCTCTCCGGTGGCGCTGCAGAAGCTCGCAGCCTTTTTCTAGGCGCAGATCGAGCGCAAGCAGAACACGCGCGCTCGAGCAGCTTGGCTGAAGTCAAGTGGGCTGCCGTTGGGTCGCGTCGTTCCGACTTGGTCCGGGTGCTCCCACTCAGGAAAAAGCCGAAGATAACGAGACTGCCAAATTCTTGTCGGAGTGGTGCAAGGTGCTCGACAAGCAGGACACCTGACACTTTTCTTTTCACGGGCAGCGAGTGGCGGCAGTGCCTTCGTCCGAAGGAGCAGGAGGAGAATATCCTCAAGGATGCAGCAGCCCGCAAGCTGGCTCAGGACGGTATAAACAGTATACACACCCCGCGCCCGCGCTGTCTGGTTTCTACCTCGCGAGCATGAAGCGGTCGTTCAGGAGCACCTGAAGCAGGCCCTGCCCCGAGTTGCCGTGCCGGGAGGACTCCCGTAGGTTCGGCAGCTCCGAAGCATACCTTCCGAATCGTGTATACTGGCGAGAAAGAATCACCGTGCTCGGCCTTTCTGTGAAGGCGACTTTGACAGAGTGAGAGCCACAACTGGCTTGGGTTCCTAGGTTGAGATATCGCGGCGGAAGAAATTCGAGGACCGTGCAAAGCCTTTGCTTGCTGCATCATGTCTGACATGAGATGTGCACACGAGCCAGGAGAAACACTCTGACAAAGGTGTGGCGGAGCATGCCAACAAGGTCATGGAGGTTGCGGTCTCAGTGTTTCCACAGCGCATGCGGACCTAGACCTCCAGCCACAGAGCCATGGGAATCCAGCTATGTCGAGTCTGCAGGGTCGTGCTTCGCCGTTGGCTGTCGCACTGCTTGTCTTGTTGCTTACCACCTGTTGCTGCGTCCGCCGATGCTACCATTGCCGCACCACGGTTTCCAACCCCGCATTACACATGGACGCACGGCCAGGTTTTTCTGCAGCCGCGACCAGAAACGCAGTCCAGAGCCAACCATACCAGCACTCCCAACGGCCGGAAGTAGTCCATGTCGTCAGGTTTGGGCAGCGCTACCGTAGCTCGCCAAGAAGGACCTATAGTGACGATACACTAGACCAGGGACTAGTGTGCGCAATAAACGATGCACGGCCATACGCCTGCCTTCAGAGTATGTTGGGTTGAGGGGGAGGTAGGGCTACCCCAGACTACCCCGACTTATATTACAACCTTGACATCTTGAGTGGCCGCGGGGCTTGATCAGAGAGGTGGTTGGTGCTTGTGTGCAACAAGTCGACTGAAGATGGTGTCGTTCGTCTTTCGAGGCAGACACGCTCGAGTTTCATGCCTATGCAGAGGCGGCTAGCCGTTTGTGTTGCTGCTTTGTTGCTGTGGTAGCATCTCTTGCAAGAGCCCAAGCAGCTCTTCCATCGCCCTCCCAGAAAATCATCCGGGACTATTCCGCAGAGGGTAAAAATGTCATCCCCCTCATCAAGGACGGGACTACATTTGCGTTGCTTAAGCAACTGTGCAAGCTAGGGTTCGCACGAAACCGTGCCTGCAGGAACTTCGAGATTTTCGGAAGCGGGTGCAGGAGTGAGGGCATTTGTAGTGAGGCCTCGGTTCTTGGTGGAAAACTGCTGCCTGAGGACCGAGCACAATTGGCTCTAGTGCTGTCTCGGAAACAATACCCTCTACTGCACTGCTGTTGCGAGCCTTCTCGGACAGTGTGAATACTTCGGAGGCAGCGCAAAGTTTCACCCATCCATCTGCATGCTGCGAAGCTGCTAGTCATTCTGTATGGTGGAACAGCACAACCGCACCAGACACGAGGGTCTTCTAAGCACAACACATGGCAAGCATGGGTTGCGTCTGAGCCCTGCAGTGTCAGGCTGGATTTCACGTAGGTGAACCCTGTCGCATGGCGCTTCTTTGAACAGGACGACAGTGTCTGACTCTGCACGGAGAAGAACTGACAGGTGGTTGCGTTGACGGGGCTCCGTGACAACAACCACGACGGGTGCGAAGCATCCGCCGTCTCCGAACAATGTTTCACAACGCTTAATGAAAAAGCGTGCTCCGTTATGGCAGCTGACTGACCACGAATTACTGATATATGTTTGAAGAGGCATGGAGGCCATGCGTCGCGAGCAGCTCAAGCGCTGCAATCATGAAGCTCTCTTTTTGCAACTGGAAAAATAACATCTTGTCGGATGGGTGCATGCATGCTCATTTTACCAGACTTCCCTACAGCACGGCGATGCATCGCAAGAACAACCCCCATGAACCCAATAGATCTAAGACTTTTTAAAAAGTGCTGCTCGCATCTATGGGTGCCACGCCGTGCGCGGAAGCACCCCGTTGCAGGTAGCAGCCACATGTGTCATGCACACTTCTACGCTCTTACTCTGTTTTTCTGCCTGCAGGATAACGGCCTGCGAGCATGTTGACGTTTTCAAGTCCGTGCTCGGAGCCTAGTTCGACACAAAGTGGTCGCAAGTTGCGAAGTTGCAGGATGCGCCACAGCACTTTCCAAAGCTTGTTGCACACACTCCGCACACACCTATATACCTTGGGCAGCTTTGCCCCTGACTTTCGAAGCCGCCGAGGCCGGTCTCTTCGCTGCCTTCGATGCCATCGCTAAGCGATGCGCCGGGACTCGCGAAGTGCCCGGATCCCACTCTGACACCGTCGTTGCCGTCGCTGTCTGCAATGCAAACGCTCATAGCAGCCATACACTAGCAGGCTGCGAGCAGACCATGCAGCATCCATCGGACAACAGCAGTGTGTTCGAATGCTGGGATCAGGAAGGGTTCCAGAACGACTAGCGTGCCTGTTCATGCGTGTCTTGATGGATAATTCTGTGGGTCAGGAAGTGGATCCTGCAAGGGGCCCGGCATGCGGAGCTTCTCACAGCAACGCCATTCGGCACTAGAGTCACCAGAGACGCTGAGGATGCGCCACTGAAGGAGTTCACCTACATGGCCTTGGCCTGTGCTTTTCCGCCGTGGCCCGGCTACACCTTGTGCAGTGGCCTGGCGCCAGGTCGAGTCTACCAATCAGGTGCTTCTGGCCGAGGAGTCCTGTGCTCCGGTTCCTATATCCATGAAGAGGGACGAGCTGGTCAGCTGGTCCAGGGTCAAAGTACCCCCGAAGTGCGCGCAGAATCAGATCACAAACTAAATGACCTGATTTTTGTTTGTCAAGAGGAGCAGCAGCGAGGAAACCTTTCCCACCGCAGCTGCGACTCGGACATAGAGCGACAGGTCATTGGCCCAGCAATTGACTCGCAAAGTCAGTCAAGACATGTCAAGACCTGCCTAGTTTTTTTCAGTCGGATGGGCAGTTCTGCCACTCCAGGAAGAGTTTTCCAAGCACAAACAGAAGGCCCAAGAAAGCGATTTGTGCAATCCTCTTGCCTTCGCCACGCCATGCTCCACAGGTGGAACAACAGCGGGCAGACAGGTTCGCAAGGGCACCTAGGACGTAGGACCAATGGATGGCACTTGCACGCACGGTTTAGCAGATCTTTGTTCACTGAGTCCCAGCCTTGGCAGCAGGCTGCAGAGGCAAAAGCTGGCTGAGAAGCGCAAGAAGGCAGACTGTTCAGACTGTTCAAGTTGATGGGGTTGGTATGACAGATGCAACAGGGCCTCGTGCTGTCCTGTCTGAGGACCTGGTTCAGAACAAAGGTCTGCAAGAGAGATACAGGCCCCCGAAGTCGCCGGAGAGCGCCTCTTTGCTGCTTTTTTGACCTGCCAGGAGCTTGGGAGTGAATATTGTGAGTGTCACAGAAAAGGGCATCACGGAAGACACCTAAAGTTTTCAAGTTTAGTTTCACCTAAATGAAGCGCGATGGAGACGCGGCGCTTTCCGGTTCGAAGATATGCCGTACTCAATGCTGCCAACAGCTGTGTCACACAGGGTTGTCGGAGTTTGTTGTTAGAGGACCCTTGCGGCTCCCTCTTGGCTCAAAGCTTCCAATGTGGCTTTGACTCTTCCAAGTGTTCTTTCTCGAAACTTTCGCGAAAGTTGTTTTTTTCCAGTGCTGGCCTCGGTCGCAGCAACTGTTCAAGCTTGGCAGCAGGGTCTGCAGATGAGATGAGGATCCAGAGCTGACTGTAAGGCTTGCAATGGGCGACAGCAAATTGATTTTGTTGGTGGCACGGCTCGCACTTGGAGTCTAATCTCGCAGCACGCAACACGACTGAGACATCTGAGGCGTTCAACTGCCGAGCAGAGACTTCCTACGGACAAGAGATTCGAGTCGTTGGCTCCACAAAGGAGTACAGCTGGGCCTGTTGTTTCACAGCAACGGCGCTGGAGGGCACATCAGGCATTTTATGACTTTGCCAGGCTCGGCAACTGGAACCCAGCTTCGGCTCCCTCGCTAAAGACGGAGGCAGCTCCCCAATGCAAGCTGTGCCGTCTTTTTGTGTCAGTCATCGTTTGGACGAACCGGCTCAACAGCTTCCCACAGCACCAGCACACTCAACAGATCACGTGAAGTCAGGAATTCCGGATCTGCAGAGCGTCAGTCCAAACTCTCCGGGTCGCCATGGCCGCGACATCCAAAGCCGCGACGGCCATCTCATCCACGGCGAGCGCACTCGCCCGCAGCCCTCTGAGCCCAACTCCACATGCTCTGGCGGGCCCTGCCCTTCAGAGAACGTCGTCAGGGTGCGGGCCTTGTGTTTCGGTTCTTCGGTGTTGGGCTGGCCCTTCGATTCGTTACAGTGTCGTGTCAGTCTGCACCATGACATGAGTATTAGACGCCCTGAGAGAAAGTCGGAGACCTTTTCTGTTATTCCTTTGTTCAACAAGTCAGACTTCGTTTATCTGTTGAGACGCCCTCAGACAACGGTGAAAGTATCAGACGTCCCTGAACCCTTAAATTTGGGACTCAGCCCTGTCTGTCCCGAGGGAGATTTCTGACCATCATGGCGGTCTGGCCGTGCCTGCCGGTCTTCTGGCCACATGGGTGGCGTCACGCATTAGCCGACATCGTCGGCGACTGGTGCCAAGACAGTTCAGGAAAAGTGACAGCGAGGATACAAAGGATGGTGTCAGCTTCGGCTTCGATGCAACCTTGGGAAAGCGCTTCGCAGAGATTGCTGAGACTTGCATGCAATATCATGCTCGTTTTGGTGATGCTGCGCTGTCACTGGGTTGTCAGGGGGCTTCGACTGAGGAGCCATACTTTGCCCCGGAAGGGGGGTTTGGCCTGCTGCTTGCAGCCATGGTGGTGGGAGTGGTGTCTGCTGCATTTCTGCTCTTCTTGGGCTTGTTGGCCGTCGTCAGCAACATCCCATTCCTGTCTGCTCTCGCACCAGCTCCAGGCTGGAGACCCTGTCGCCGCACTTGAGATGCTGTTGCTTTGCAGACGCTTGGCAGGTGTGGCAGCCAAGCTGACTGAACTGGCCATTCCGCAGTACATAGGGGCCGCAGCTGCAGGGATCACGGCTTCCAGCGCTTTGTTCCTCAGTCGCCGAGAAGCGCTCGCTGATCGGTGGAAGCAGTGGGGTCTGTTGGCGCTTTTGATCTTCCTGCTGCTCTGCGTCACGGGCATCAACGTTGTTGTCAGCTTCGTTTTCCGATCTCTGGACAATGTGCTCGTGGCCAAGAACGAGTCTGCCTTCTACACGCAGATGCAACTCTTTGTTGTGGTTCTAGTGGTGGCTGTCCCCACGATCGCCTTCTACCGTTTTGTACGCCTGAGCCTGGCAAATGCCTGGCGTCAAAACCTGAGCGTCATGATCCTGGATGAATACTTTGCTCACAGGGCGTACTATCTGCTAGACTCAAATTCCACTGGAACGAAGATAGATAATCCAGATCAGCGCATCTCAGAAGACATAGAGGCTTGGCTGCACCTCGCAGTCGGAGAGCTTTTGGCAATGAAGTTGATGCAGTGCTTCGTCATGCCTAAGGATGCCTTCACGAGCGAGACCTTGGGTTTCCTTCTCGACATCCTTGGATCCTTTTCCAACCTATTGTCTTTCGCGGCAATCCTTTGGACCACCTCGGAAGAGCTGACCTACGCGCTCGTCGTGTACGCCGTTCTTGGAACCGGGTGACTCGGGCACAGACAAATTTTTGCAGTCTTTAATTGGGCCATGGCCCGTATTAGGGCTATCAAGGGTTAGTGCCTTACAGTGGAAGGATCGCGCTGTCCGTTGGCAGCACGCTTATCGGAATTAACTACAAGCAGCTGCAGCTACAAGCAGACTTCCGTTATTCTCTGGTGCACGTGCGCGACAACGCCGAAGCCATTGCCTTCTATCAGGGCGAACAGAAAGAGAGCGACGTTGTCAAGGAGCCTTAGCCTAGGCCTTGCAGCTTTCAGAGGACAGGGAGCTTCGATCTGGACTGTTCGTTCAGGACAAGCTGAGAGCAGCGATTCAGAACTACGACAAAGTCATCAAGTGGACGACAGGCTTGACCTTCTACCAGAAGGTGTTCTTTTATGTGACCAGGCTGCACGAATCTGTCCAGCCGCAGAGCAGGGCAAAGCGGACTGAGGCACTCACACATGCCATGCTTCTTTGTGTCAGGTTGCCCGGCTGGTTCCCTACTTCGTCGTGGGTGGCCTCTACTTTGCTGGCAAGGTGGATTTCGGCACTTTCGGACAAGTGTCCTTTGCGTTCTCCATGGTCCTGAGAGCTTTGCCTGCAATCATATAATTCTACGTCGAACCATGTAAGCCTCCTTGTCTTCACGGACTGCAGCACGGATCCGTGCTCCTCTAGCATCCGTGTTTCGAGCTCAGGTTCGGTCACCATCATTGTGAACCGAATTCAGGAGAAGTAAGTGGTGCGGTTGTGACCAGATATGCCAGGAGTATGTCTGTAATGAGTGCCTTGGCAGGACATCAGCCGGTTCTCTGCGGGTGTGAACCGCTTGGGCATGTTCTACGAGGCCATCACCTTGTCCCGCAAGGAGTTCCTGGAATCGTCCGGAGATGCAAGGACCTTGTTTTCTTGCGCCCCGAGCACTGGAGGTTTGATGGGGGTGGAAGAAAGCCATCCAGCCATCCAGCACTCACCTCAACGCTAAAGCTTCCACAACGTGAAGTAACCGACTGAGCCACGTTTGCTGCAGTCTGTTCGGACTTTTCTGCAGGATTGCAACTCACACTCATGACAGCGACAATGAGCAGATCTCTCTGGAGAATGTGACCATTTGGACGCCAACTGGCAGAGACTTGCAATGAATTCAACATTCTACCAGTGTAAGATGCCTGCCAACAGATGTCCGAACATGACGGTTGTCGGATCTGCCAGGAACGCTGGTGAAAGATGTGAGCGTAACCCTAAGCATGCCAACTGCCTCTGGATCCATGGAGCTGCCCAGCCGGCTTTTGGTCGTTGGACTCTTGGTTCGATCCTAACTTTGCCACTGATGTACCGGGGATATCCGGGGATGCTGAAGCTTCACGGCTTTATGGCATGTCGATTCCCCAGGCAGCAGCGGTGTCGGCAAAAGCAGCATCCTTCGGGCCATTGCTGGGCTCTGGACGCAAGGCCCCGGCTTCCTGCAAATGAAGGAGAGTGACGATTGGACTAGTTCTAAACATATTATAGGGGGAAAATTTTCCCTATGATATGTTTAGTGGGGAAAAATATTTTTTCCCCTATAATATGTTTATTGGACTAGTTCCCACAAGTGATTCGTGCAGAGGCCAGGGTAGTATTCGTCGGCCTCAGATGTCCGACATGTTCTTCCTCCCCCAGAAGCCATATATGAGCCTTGGATGGCAGTTGAGACTGTGGTCCCTTTTGGTTCGGACGTGGGTAGTTCTCTGAACTAGGGTCCCTGTTAGGATCTTTTTTTCAAGGGTGCCGTATTATATTGGGGACCCAAAAGGGGACCCTAATTTAGAGATCTACCCACGTATAACGGAAGTGGCCTGGCTTTTTTTTCAGGCCTTTGGGAGACTTGCGCTCGCAGCTGCTATATCCTTCGGAGCCTGGAGAAGTCGCCACTTTGTTCAGTGAGAAGTGGGAGTTTTCCGAAGATTAGGGTATCCTATTTGGGGGTCCTTATAATAAGGATCCTACTATTTAGGGTACTCTATTAGGGTCCCCTATTTTCTGAAACCCCCAAGTCAGCCCATAGATGCCATAGATGCCATAGGCATTCGCCTGAATTAAAAGCAGATCCGACTGCTCAGGCGGTGGAGGACGGGCTCCTCCGGGAGGTTCTGGGCCACTTGGACGAGCAAAGGCGTCTGCCTTTTTCCGTGTCCTCGTGATCGTTGCAAGATGGGTTTTACTTCCCCAAGGCAGATTCGGCCTTGGAGATCTGCCCGACAGGTTTGAGCAGGGCTTTGAAACTGCCCCCTGGACCAAGCCATATGCTGCAGCAGTCTGGCAGCCTTTTGTCCAGCGGTTGCCTTCTGCACTGAACCTTTTCGCCATGCGCAAAGGTGGTGGACTGGACTCGTGTGCTTTCGCTCGGGGAGCAGCAGCGACTGGCAGCAGCGCGCTGCCTCATTGCACAGCCGAGGCACTGCATCTCGCATGACTTTGCCGCAGTCCGCTGCAACAATCCCCTCTTATCAGGATGGTGGTCTTAGACGAAGCGACTTCTGCACTCCCGGTTCCAGACGAGAGAAACCTGTACAAGTCTCTGGAAGACCGTGGCATAGGCAGATCGGGTCTTCCGGCTTCTCTTACCGAAGGCGGTCAGAAGACACAACGTTCTTGCAGGATATGTGTCAGTGGGTCACAGACCGAGCCTGGTTGAGTATCACGACCTGATTCTGGAGCCTTGGAGAAGTGGAGAGGTACCCCCGGCAACCTGATTCGTATCATTATCGGGATAGGTCAGCATCGCCCGAATTTTCGTGCCATTCTTAGCCGAGGAGCTGCGTGGTGAAGGTCAGTGGCGGATCTTGAGTCCCAAAGAGTACGAGGCTCGATTGACTGTAGGGTGCAAGCCCTGGATTCTACGTTGATGCGACAGTAAGTGATGGAAATGCCAAGCTGGACAAGCAAAGCTCCATTATCGACCTTGCCTTCCTAGGTTTTGTATATTGCCCTTGCATGTCATTCCTCGAGAGAAAGTTGGGTTGCCAGACTAGCATTTTCTGTTCCTAGTTTCTGCCATAGATGCATTCTGTGCAACATCGCCTTGGCTCCTGATCTACAGGACTCGGTGAATTTGGTGCCTTAGTCGCAGCGAGGTTCAGTGGTCCATTCGCGCTTCAGTCTCCCTGACCCTGAACTTGCAAAGCCGGCCTTTGAGGCTTCCCAGCCCATGTCCATGGCGCAAGGATGAAGCGAGTGTTTCTGTACAAAGACAGGAGAGCATGCAGCCCAAAGGCAGGCGAGCGTGGTCCCTTGAGAAGCCGTGAGGTTGCGGCGCATGGCTGCTATCTCCGGTGCTCTTGTTTGCTCACCCACCTTTTCATCCTGAGGTTTGTCAGAGTTGAGCTCTCGATAAACCCGCATTTTTCTGAGTCCATGGACTTGCTTCTGCGGCTTTGGCCTGCACCCCAGAAAATCTTGCATCCCCAAGCTTGGTGGGACTCGTCGGGCCTGGTGATGAGCTGGCTTGGGCGATACTCCAGCTCCGAAAGCTGCAGCACAGGCCCACGAATATCCGAAATGGTCGGGAACCCTTGATTGCCAGGCGTGATCGTGCTGCACCTTAAGTTCCCTTACCTTTCAATCCACTTTTTGCATCAGTACCTGTGCAGGAATGCACTACGGAGACTTGCTCGCATCTTGCGATATGCATGGCCGCTCGTGGGGTCATGACTTGCCGTCCCTGCAGTTCCATGATGTTGGCTGAGGAGTACAAATTTGTGATTTACGATGCTCGAGAGGGCAGATCGGTTTGGGAAGATGGTCTCAGCCCTGGACTTGGGGCTTCAAGATAGCGCTCACAAAGACTGCTCCAAGGTGTGAATCGTTTCTTTGGTTTCAACTCGAGCGGTGAGATCTACACGACTACGGGACCGGCGGAGCCAAAGCCTCAAAGATCCTCAAAGCCTCAGCTCGGCTTTCTTGCTAAACAGAGCTTGCGAGCTGGAGTCGTCGACAAGGCTGCACACGCCCCGGTTTGGGGTCGTCGACGGCACCGGCCCACGGTGCGAAGCTCAGAGAGTGTAGCACCGTATCGTTATCGTTCGGGCACCGCCCTCATGGTTGTAGATTTTGGATATCGAGGATTGCTAGTGGAAGGAGCAGGAAGACGAGTTTTTCTGATGATGATGCGGCAGAGTATGCCGCAGCCCCAGACCCCGAAATCACTTGCGAACCCAGCGCCACATCGCCGCCTTGTTTGCGCCGGCAAGCACAGGCAGTGCCAGTTCCCGTGACGCCCAAAGTCAAGGCGGGAAATGCCTCCGGCGGCCGGAGACTAAGGAGCTGCCCAGAGTGCAGAAGCCATGGACGCAGCATACGCAGCGCTCCCAAGGTTTCGACGATGAGCTGCATTTTGATGTGGTCTGGACCCCAAGCAGGGAGAAGGTCCTCGCCGCCACTCATTCTTCCTGTGAGGTTTGTGGCGTAACTGGAGTCGGAGATATAGTGGTTGCGGTGGGTTCCTGCGATGAGCCTCTCAGCTGCACCGGGTGTGAAGATACAATCCGACGGCGGGGTCAGTTTTCTGTGCTTGGTGTTCCGCAAGGCTGGGGTGCTGGGACGTCTTCAAGGGCCACCCTGGCTCCGTTCCATTCCATGGCCTCAAAGGCTTTTGTCCCGTCATGTCATGTTCCGTGCGTTCTCGCGCGCCAGGTGTGAAGCTGTGTACTTCCGGAGAGGTGTCAGGAGCCGAGAGCAAGCAGAGCTCGCGATGCGGCCCCACTTCATGCGTCCTTCTTGTCCCTTTCCCTTCCTAGGTTCCCGAGATGGATGGGGACGGTGCACATGAAGAGCTGTGACGTTAGTAGGAACCTGAGTTGACGCTTTCCCTGTCTTCACAGCCTCGGAGGGAAGGGTCAGGTGGAGCATAGGAGAGATCCGAGGCACCATCCAGTTCAAGTTGGCGATCATCAAGGGAAATTCGGCGGCCAGTACCTCAAGAGACTTCCGAGTGAAGTGAATAGCCGTGCTTGGTGCTGCTTATGTCGCCTTCTGCAGGAGTGGGAGAACTCAGACAATCGTCAGCTTCGCCGGACCCCCGGCACAGGGCCCTACCGAAGTCATAGCACATCTCATTAAGTTAGCAGCTAATGAGCACAAAAACTCTAAGGACTCGAAGGTAGAATTGCTGTAAAACCGGCCAGCACTGATAGTTCAGGCTCAGCGGTCGAGGCTAGGAGAGTTGGGCACTACTCTCGAACTTCGATCAAGAAGGTATGCCGAACTAGTCATGTAACGTGAAAAGACCCGAAACCCCTTGCAAAGGATTGTGATGTTGAGTTGCGCGGCACTCGATCATCAAAGTCCTACAGGCTGATCTTTCGAGATCCGCGCACCTGTTGCGATGTTGAGTTGGGTGCAATGCGAGCTCGAGTACTTTTTCAAATACAGTTTTTAAACTCAGTTTTTTTAACGACAAGCTACTGGGTTCTATCTCTGCACTAGTAGTGAAATTAAGTTTCTTCTCAGATCCACACACTGTGTGTCGGGTCTATCTCTCCTGAGACCAGTAGACCTCGGCAGAAGTCTTAAGCCTTGAGCCTTGGCAGAAGCCACACCAACATGAAACGCATAAAGAGGAGGAGTTGTGCTTCTGCTGTTTGTCGTGGGAGCTTGCTTTGCAAAGGGCGGAGGGTGGGGAGTCGACGTACCCTGGCTCGAGGCCTTCCTGCCGGGAAGGAAGAGGGCCCCTGGCAGGCGAGGAAAGCGAGAGCGAAGAGCGAAGCTGCCGAAGCCAAGCTTCTGAAAGCTGCTCTGGCGGTTAGTTTCCTGTGACCTCGGCAGGCCCTCTGTGAGTGGAACAACAGCCACTGCCAAGTGCAGCCACTCAGGCCGACCCATTGAGTTGTATGTGGGGCCCTGTAGGGATCTGGATTTCTGTGCCGACTCTTGAAATGTCTCTGGCTGGCTCAGTATAGGCCTTCATAAGATCTTTAGGCACCATACAAATCGTCATCGTCGAATCGTCGGATCTACGTCAACGAGGCCTAGGTTCGGACAAGACAAAGGCAGCGACGGCGCTTTGCCTCTCGCCATGGAAGAAGACTTGAGGATGGAGGCCGTCATGTCAGATGACTGCTGGGACGTGCCCAGAATCCGATCCATCACCAGCTTTTCCTCTTGCTATGTAAGGCCCAACCGAAAAGAACGATAAATTGACACAACTGTTTGTACGGGCTCTCGCTGTGTCCGAAGGCAGCAATATTCGATGCGCCAACAGGCTGGGCTCGTGCCGTCACGGAGCCCCCTCCGGGTCCTGCGCAGCCTCTGGCAGACCTCAAACCCAAGCAGCAGAAGGCTCGAACTTCGCCACGGGCTGTTTGCATTTGCATGATCCTATTGCTCTCGGCGCTGCAAGACAAGTAGTTGCGAGAGATAAGAAGTTACCTTAGAGAGACAACGTAGGTGCTAGAGTCCGGGCGCCCGGGGAAAGGGTGCTGCATGGAAGATCCCATAACCCAACACTATCTGTAGGATAGGCTGGGATAGACGACGTTGTTCTGCCCTGCAGAGCTTGCAGTGGCGGCGTCAAATGGCCAACAAGCTCGTGCTTGAACACACCAGGTCGAAGCTGGAAATGGAGCGACAAGAGATGGCGTTGAATGCCTCTCTCAGGCACGCCCACGGGGACCCTCAGGGCTATGTAGCAGCCGCACGTGCAAAACGGCAGAGTGTCCTTTGGTAAGCCACCCGCCTAGCTAGTCCAAGCGAGCTGTTGCCAAGTCCACCAGAGAGTTTGAGCGATCAGAAGCCGACATGATACTGTACAGTAAGTCAGACTGCGCACCTGAATCCAGGGACCTCTACGATGTCCAGGAATCGGTCGGGCAAGGGTGCATGGGCGTCGTGCACAAAGGCAAGCGAAAATCGGACGGAAAGGAAGTGGCCTTGAAGATGCTGCGAGTGGATGACGAGGCGCAGTCTTGACATGCCATGTTGTGCTCTTGGCCTCTTGTGAGATCACGTGCTTTTGAGGAAATGGGGCAGATTGTCAAAAGAGAGTACGACACCTTGACCTCACTCAATCACCCGTATATCATCAAGGCGATCGACTACTTCTCTGAGTGTGGACAAGCGGTCATTGTCCTCGAGTATTTCCATGGCGAGACATTGACCAGGGCAGCTCGAACATCCAGTGTAAAGACCGGACTTCTCACGGAAGGAAGAGCACGCCGTATCTTCCAGATGCTGGTTAGCGCCGTTGAGTACCTCCATGCCCGACATATCATCCACAGGGACATCAAGGGCGACAATGTGTTCCTTGTAGGAAAACGGTTGAGTAGCTGTCTTATCGCTCGAGAATGGTTTGGGTTCTCACATGCTGGCTTTTTCAGTACGGCACTGAGGCTGGTAAGTGCGAACTTCGATGACCTGCGACTGATTGACTTCAACGTGGCCGGAAGGCTGCTTGAAGGGGACTCACTCACAGTCACCGGGACTCAGGAGTATTGGCCACCAGAACTCTTCCGAGACGTGCCCACCCGGAGTATTTGGGACAGTTCCAGTGTGGCAGGAAAAGCTGGCGACATTTGGTCGGCAGGACTTTGCCTGCACCTTCTAATCACTGGCCAGCTTCCCAAACGGGCTGCAGACTTCAAAAACGCGGATGCCTTCAAGGAAGCCGTCGCCACGAAGCCAGTCACCTGCCAGGATGCCTGCTGGAAAGATATTTCAATACCTGGAAGAGACGTCCTACAGCGATGCATGCAGATGGAGCCACAGCTGCGCCCCACAGCCGAGGTGCCTTGTACTGGCCTTGTAGCAGTCTTCCGTCCTTCATGCATTTCTGCGTTCGACCTCGCCGGGCCTCCGAGGATCTCTTGGGAGAGCGATGGTTTCAAGAAGGCTTGGGCGTCGGCGGGTAGGCCCTGCAGCAGGCGCATGCTCCGGATTCAGTAGCTCGATTGCGAAAATATTGCGAAAGTGCAGTAGACTTGCCCATGTGCTGCACGCATGTTGGACGCGACGCCCTGAGCCCAGGTGCAACCTGCCTTTATGAAAGCCCACATCTGGCATCCTGAACAGAACTCGCCTTGCTAAGCCAAGGGGAGCCCGAGTTGAACTAGTTTGAAGGTCCAAGCCGTCCCGGCATATTTCAACATAATTCTACGCCACGGCTCGCTGCCGGAATTTTCCAGGTTCTGGAAAGTAGGGCACGATTGGCGCATGTTCATGAACAATGAGTGTTTTATCCCGTCTCCCATCTTCTTCCAGAATGGAGAAGAGGGTTTCAAGCGTTTTCTTGAGAGCTGTGAGAGACCCGTCGACAAGGATAAACGGGGACTCTTTGCACAGCTTAATCAGTTTCTTGCAACGGATTTGCATTTCAACTTCTGCCTGAGTGATCCCCAACATCCCATCCTGAACGAAACCGATAAACTTGGATTAGTTAGTTGCGCCTGTGGCGACTTAGTGCAATTGGTGTTCGCTTTTGTGGATGCAAGATGGATCAATGACCAGGGGACTAGAGTACTGCAGCAGCAAGTCTCCTCCTATCGAGAGCACAGCTTCTTCCAGTGCCCAAAGGGCAGATTCTGGACAGTTTCGTTTCGAGACACCGCTCTCGTTAAAACAGGAAGCCCAAGTCCCCTCAGCGATTGCGCTCCCCGCTCCCTGCGTCAAAACACGAGCCAGGACCAAGGATCGCCAGGCCATGGAAGCTGCAGGCGGGCACTTGCATAGCTGGCGCTTTGCCAGGTCGAAGTAATTAGAGCGGCAATCGCATCAACGTAGGGAATTCCATGTACCGATCAGTCGAGGCAAGAAGACCATGGACGGCAAGGACGGCAAGGAAGATGCAGCCCTGGTGAGGGCCGCCTTGTCGTGCCTGCCTCGAAGTGGGCAGAATCAAACGCAGATGAGAAACTCAGGGTTCATCCCATGCTGAGGCCCACAGCCAGTGGCGCCGACACTTCTGCAACCAGTGCAACAAGTGCAACAAGTGCAACCACTGCAACTTCATACCCGAGAATGACTGCACCACCGCAGATTCTCGGGCAGGATCCAGACTCAGAAGACATGCGCTTAAGTGCATTGTGCTGGAATGGGGAAGGGAATGATTCTCGGCACTGAGGCCACAGAACACCTGATGAAGAAGCAGCCCCACACTACGACGGCCGCTTTTGGCGATGCCCCACGGCTGGAGCCCTGGCTGTGCTCAGATATTAAGTCAGTTCCTTGGCAGTTTTGCGCACAGGCGAAGTACGTCTTTGAGCCTGTTGGGGGTGGACCGGCCGCTCCTGGCGGAGCAGTGGGCGTGTGCAGCTCAGCCCAGCACAGTGTCCAGCAAGACAGCGTAACCATCTCTATCATCAACAACAGCGGAAAAGACGACACTCCAGGAACTCTAGCAGTCGAAGTCGTAGCAGTAGCTGTGGTCGCGGTTGCGTGCACAATCAGCAGTAGCAGTAGCAGCAGGAGAAGGAGTAGGAGCAGGAGCAGGAAAAGGAGCAGGAGCAGGAGCAGGAAGTCGTAGTAGTCGCAGCAATAGTGGGAGGCGGAGGAGGAATCGGAGTAGTTGCAGCAGTGCTCAGTTGACGTTATAGTTTTGGAATTTTCTTGCCATTTCGCTGTGCCAGCGCTCCGTGAGGCGCAGGAAGGACTCTGGCCCTCCTCCAAAGGAGCCGGGGACACAGCTTCCTTAGCATGTTGGTTTGCTTCTCTGTCCATAGAGAGTAATCGGATTGTCGAGTAGACCATGTTGAGTCCTTGCTCGCCTCATTTGCACATTGTCATTGTTGACAGCACTTACGTTGTGAACTGCACTGGCATTGTCGCTGTATCCTGTGTCATCGACTAGTTTGGCGGTTTCCACTGCCGCATTAGTACAATTGCTGACAAGCGCATTGTTTTAGCGAGCCACGGTATGCACTTTGTTCTACATGATTTGCACTTGGGGTCATCCTCTGCTTTTTTGTGTGATTGTGGTGATTGGCATGAGTCTTGCATTGTGGCTTCCCATATTTCACTCGTGTTTGAGATCTGTTTGCGGTGCGTAGTTCTAAGATTGCGAGTATTGTTGCCGCATTTGTTGACACGCCACATCAAAGGTCTGTGTATTTGATCGTTGGAAGTTGATCTTCAGTGGATTGTTCGGATTTCGGTTCGTCTGTTCACTGTGTTCTTTCTTTTGGATAAGTAACATTCAATGATGTTTTTCAATCCATTGGATTGCGACTTCAGAGGTTACTTTAGTAGGAGGATTGACTCGAAGATCGACTGGAACCAGGTACTGCTTAGGAGCATCGATTGAGAAGCTTTCAGAGGATTTGTCTCTTTTTGTTTGAAGGACGATTGAGGGATAGTTTATTGGCACACACATTGCAGCTCTCATTGTCCTTCTCAGATGGCCTGGATGATTTTCTGTGGTTAGATAGATTCCTTTTGAGCACTGTTGTGTTGGTGCCGACGGTTGTTGAGCAAGCCTTACCTGGAAGCCGAGTTTGAGGCAGTGCCTGAATTTCAAGATGAAGAACTTGGCCGAGAACGATGCCAAGAAGATGTCTGTCGAGGTCGTTTTCCAGGCTGGGCGAACTCAGCAGGATTTGTGGCCCTGTCTCACGCCAGATGGGTACCGTGATTGGAACCCCATGCCATAAACCGGGAGCCTTCAATCCAGCTCCGAAGCGACCCTGAAACCCTAAGCCCCTTGAGCTTCACTGGGAAGGAGAAAAGCCAAAGACCGGCCATGGCCCTCGAGCTGGCAAACTACGACAAGGAGGAGCAGCAAGCTGGGCCCTCACTCTCTGCGAGCCTCGGATCCTTGCACCTTGCATTAGCCGATCACCAGATGCAGAGGCAGCTTGGTCTCTTGCGGTCCCTTCCGCGGATTTGACCCCTGGCATCCATTTCTTCCACTTCCGTGTCAACGGGGCCGGGGATCCCAAATGCGGAGACGCTGAGAAGTGAGCCCGCTGCACAGAGCCTCACGGAGCGGAGAAACGAGGTCGTCGTGGTTTCCTGCGAGCACATGCGGCTTGGTCGGTGGAATGCAATGCATGTGAGTGATCCAATTCGCCGGGCCCTTGCCAGGGACTCGCAAAAGGTTGGGCTGTCTCGTTTGTGATACCCAGGTCGCTACTTGTTGGCCCGAGACAGCAAGGGTCAGCTTGAGACTCAAGAGTCACGGGCGCCCATCCACATGCATGCGGCACCGCACCAGCCCAGCTTGTGTGTGTGCTCATCAGGCTATCAGAGGATGCGCCGCAAGGCTCTCAGATTCAGTGGGTTTGATTCAACAGCTCTCAGTCTTGCCGCCAGCAACTCTCTACTCGACATCATGTCGAAGTCATTCTGCCAAGGATTGTCGAGAAGACACGCTCCAAGAAGATTGGTGACATGGCAAGCCCAGCATAACGTCGAATTGAAGCATCTTCATGTTGATCTCGATCCTCCTTAGCGCTTTGCGGGGGCAGGAGTGTAGCATGTGACGGAACACGGCAGGCCATGGACTCCTGTGTGGGCTCCGGGTCTACAGCAGACGTGGTTGGCCTGCAGGCCTGCAAGCCACGCATAGCAGATGATCCCTTCCTCCTGTGACCTGTTCGCATCAGGAACTTGGTGGCCAAAACAACATCGCTCGCCCATACAGCGTGTGCTTGGAACTTAGCTTGAGGCTGTTGCAGTCGCGCCAGCCAAAGGAGCAGTCGGAGCAGTCGAAGCAGTCTCCAGTGAGGTGGGAATTTGGTTGGCAATGCAGATTCAGATGACGAGGCAGCTGGCCAGGACCGGACCCGGAGCGGAGCATAGCGGAGCCGGAGAGGAGAGACGCCGATTGTGTGTCCAGGACAGCGGCAACTCCTTCAGCCCTTTTGCAAAAGAGGTTTACGAAGGCGAGGCAACTTCGCAAGTTGAGTGACACGGGCAGCTGAGACTTTACAGTGAAGCTCACCGTTTTCCACGAGAGACTCACGTCACAGAGAGCGACAGGCTTGTTTGACCGGGAGCTCATGCTCCGTTTGGACGGGGTCGTCCTGTGCTCAAGACTTTGCGGACAACTCCAAACAGTACCTAGGGGATACTAGTGACCAGTGGAGTTTTGTGACTTAGGTCCTCCCAGAGACTCCGGCACCCCCTGCAGGGAAGGAACCACTCGATGAAGGATCCGCGGACCACCGGCAGAAATGACAGCCACATCCACGTGACTCTGCAGGATCCGAACTCCGCTTGTGGGCCGGTGCGCACTTGATCAAGAAAGCTCACGGTGCTTGTGTGTGGCTGAGCTGCTGAGCTTCAGCCTTCTAGGAAGTCCACCGAAGCAAAGCAGCAAAGCGTCGAACGACGAGGTGAAGACGCCTATTTTGTTGATCCGCATGGCATGGGTGTGGCTGATGGAGTCGGCTGCATGGTCAAGCTCTCAGACTTTGCAATCCAAGGTCTTGCCTTTGAAAATTCTGGAAAGCCCGCGTTGCCGGAAAGTGGTTCAATGTGATGGCTTGCCGCACGTACTGCCTCGTACTGATGCGAATACGATCAGAATGAAAGAGAACGCTCTGCCAGTATCAGTGAACGAGGTGGTTGAGTCAACCACAGCGACAATCTCTGAATGTAACGGGACATGCAGACAAAAGGAGCGCCCAAAGCAACGACCATTCTGGACAGGCTTTCCCGAGTGCCTGTAGAACCAAGGCCTTGTTTCAGGAACCGCGAGGGAGCTCAACCGTTCACAAGCTTTTTCCCGATTGTTGGGGATCCGACAAGTCTCTGCATTTTTGTGCATGTCGCTTAAGGGGGTTTCTTGGCTGAGGTTCAATTTGCCAGCTACGGGATCAATGCTGCCCAGTATGCAGCAGAGTTGTACCATCCTTGGACCTTCTCATGGATGCGGATGATGCTGCTGCGCACATTTGTGCATGTGCCTGTCGCCCCTCTGAGGATGGAGTTCTCCAGCGCCGCTCTGAAGCTGAAGCCTCGAAAGCCCACAGGGTTAGAGGTAACAGGTAATCGTTGTCCATACTCTGACGAGGGCCAGCTGCTCTCTGAGGCCCGAAGGCTTGGCGTCCGAAGGCAAGATTCGAACTTCTGGCTGTTTGACAAGTTTCGTTTTTTTTGCTCGCTCTTTCCATTTAGCCCCTGGAACGCGCCAGGCGACGATGTTGCAGAGCGTGCTGCTACGGCGTTGGCACATGGTGAGTCTCACGCGGCGGCCTGGAGCTCAAGGGTTCGAGGATTTCGCGGAAGTGGGCTCTTGCGCAAGCGCCTACGCTGCTGAGGCATACGGCGCCTCCACGGTTGCCGTGCTCTGCCAGCAAGGCGGCATTGATATTGATGAGTGCCAGCGCCAGTCTCCACTTTGGCTGCAAGTCCGATCCAGGAAACCAGATTGGAGTCGCTAACCTTGGCGACTCGGGCCTGCGCCTCAAGATGACCAAGGACGGACACTGCCTGCAGAGGACGTTCCCTTTGGAGCCGGGGACAACGGAGAGAGTTGCCAAACGGCCATGTCATGAGGCTTTATGCTGCTGCGCAAGGGCCCTCATGGAATGAATGCCGTGGCCCCAGGTCGAATGACTGCCTCGCTCCTTGCTGCGTCTCAGTGATAGATTTCTAGTTCTTTTGTCATATTGCCGGAGCTAATCAACACTAGGAACTCATCGTGTCATGTTGCCGTTGTCGTTGCTGCTTTTACTACGGCTTGATGGTGAGCACCGCAACATGACTCTGACCTTTTGTCATGCCTCGCTTCGCGAGCACTCTAGCAGCCTTTGCCTCGCAGCCGGTCGAAGTGATCTTTGCGAGATTCATCCCCTAGCAAGCGGCACCCGAATATCAGCGCATCTCAGCCTCAGCTCCGGCCGCGGCCGTAGCCGCCGCCGTCCACCAGCAGCATGGCCCATGGCCGGATGGCGCATGGTCATGTTCGTCGTGCCAAATATAAAACCCGAGATGTGTCTTCTCATGTTCATCTCTTCCTCGTCATCTCCGGGTCCTTCTCCTTTGCACTGCACTGCCCCCGAGATCATCATGAAGTCGGAGGAACAACAGCACAGCTGGTGCGCAGCCTGGGAGTGTAACAGCCGTGGACTGGAGACTGGCGCCGCATGTCCTTCGAGTCTCGGAAGCGAGGAATTGTCCGTATCAGCTCACTCGTTTGCCCAAGGCAGGAGCCTGTGGAAAACACTCAGATCTCTGATTTCGGGCTTGCCTTGTTGAGAGCGAAGGCGTTGCTGAACCGCTTTCCAAAGCTGCAGCTGGACAAAGCTAGCGATTGCGGGGGCCCTGGGAGAACGCACGGGTCATTCGCAACCAGTATTAGTTGACATGTGCCGAAGCATGAAAGAATGAGCAAATCAGGTGAGCGCTACACAGTCGAAATCAAGGAGGTGCCTGCAGCATGTACCCTGCCTATCTCAGTGCCCAATCTGGTGCTGGTGCACAGGGCGACCTTGTGCTCATGTTCTCGGATGGGCTCCGTGACAACCTCCATGACCGGGAGGCTCCATGCTTCGCGCAAGCATGCCAGACACACACAGACAGACATCTGCCTCCGTGAACAGGTGCTCAGCATCGTAGATCGAGCGCTGCCGCCAGCACAGGCCGCCTCGGCCTCGGACCCCACAGCTTCCCAGCGTTCGTCGGAGCTTACGGAGAAAGTTGCGCCCTTCGGTCACCACCCAGGACATGCTGGGGCTGCTGGACCGTTGCACGCAGCCGCCTTGAGTCTTGATCCTTGAGGATCCGAGAGCGTAGGGTAGACGCCCCCTCGAGGCCGCCGGAGACCATCGCCAAGGCACTGGCCCTGGCCGCCCAAGAAAGGTCCATGGACCCGACAGCCAAGGCCTGGCCCTTGGACCAGTGGATGGGTGGTGCTCGTATTGTAATGTGCAGGTGCCCTTCGTGGAATACTCGAAGCGACATGGTTTCGAATGCCTGGGTGGGCCAGGGCCCGAGTCACTGGAGGAAGGCTGAAACAGAGGCTGCCCTCATGCCTCGTCCAAGGAAGCAGGACGACATCACTGTGGTAGCCTCCTGGGCCGGGACCCTCAAAGCTATAAAAACGCAGGAGGGAGCCTGTGAGCCTCTGTGAGCCCATCGGACTTTCAACCTGCGAGGTAGTCGCAGATGAGCAGTGGGCTCAGCAATGCCCACTCTTGATCACAGTCGTCCTAGCCCCTCGTTATGTGAAGTAGAGGGAGCAGAATTGGCACCAAGGTCAAAGCTCAGTGGGACTCTCGGATTTGGTGCAGAGCTCCATTGCTCCGCTTGTTGGTTACTCTACCTGTTGGTTGCAGGTCCCGACGTGGCTGACGTGGAGGCCATCGTGCAGGACATGCACACAGCAGCGGCAGCAGCGCCTCAGAAGAAGATGGTCGGCTTCTGAGACCAAGACTTTGACATCCTGAAACAACTGAGCTCTTCGTGCATGTTTTGAAATGATACTGTACTTAGTCGCGAAAGAACTCTGGCCGCATCCACTCCGACCGAGCCTGAGAGCTGTCACTGTCAGGGGCGAGGATCACAAGGTAGCCACGCTTCAAAGATTTTGGAATGCCGAGGGTGCCAAGAAGGGCGGCTTTGAAGCCAGGCACATGCGGATGCATGCCGGTTCTTGGCACGGGCAGACGGGCTGTTCTACATCGGCCTGCAACTGCACAGGACACGCGCTGGGGATTCGGTCTTGGTGGCAGCCTTGGCACTCTCTCCGGTGACTGTAGTATGTGGACTGAGCATCGAGGCCGGCGGCAACAGCAAGAAGGAGTTGGCCACCAAGACCGCCTTCCATACTGTGGCATCGAGTCACATGGCAGCAAGTCCAAGTGCGACTGCTCAGGCTCCGTGGGCACAGGAGGACAGAATTCCGCCCAATGCAGCTCTGCCACGCTTAGCGGAGAGATCCCTTGGCTGTGCCGCTGTGCAGATGCCCTTGGTTGCCAGTGATTCTGATACTTTGGCCAGGAGCTCCTCCAAGGCCGTGTAAACGCGGCGCATGAGCGCCAGATTGATTTTTGAAGGCAGGGCCCGAAGTCCGCAGTGCAGCGAGCCGCTGTGCTGCCTTCAGTGTGCGCGCGCAGGCAGAGAAACTATATAGGCCTACGGTTCTCTACAGAGGCCCTGATGCTTCTCGGGCCCTGCAGGAGCTTCAAATTCGCAAAACAGACTCTTAACGCACTGGTACGGAAGACATCGGCGCGCGTTGTGATCGTATCGACTTGTTCAACCAAGTTCTACAAACACATTCACTTAAGTTAGATGCCCCTTCTAATTTGTGTCCAATCCATGTATGACGGGGTACGCTTGGGCAGCCTCACAGTGTTTTTGTGTGTGGTTTAGCCGTTTAGCCTTGTAACAAAGAGCCCAAGATTGAGATTTTCCTGGGAGCTGTTGAGCTGCACCCTATTATGGGCCCGGGCCCCAAGACCACGGAGGAATGGACGTTTCTGGAGGCTTTACTGGGGCCGTCTTTGCGGGTGCATGATCGGGTGCAGGTAGGACACTCCCAAATTCGAAGCACCGCCTTGGGGCGCTGCTGGGACTCGCCGGCCTTGCACGATTGCACGCGTCGTTCAGGAATCTTGGCGTGTCTGGAGTCTGTGTTGTGTTTGAAACTTTCCATTCTGGAGGCATGGCCGGTTCTAATTCGGATTCCGTAAAGGTATCCAGACGGGATGGACCAGTTTGGCCATCCCAAGTCTGCAAGGGGCACTCGGAACAGCAAAACTGCCCAGAAAGCCGATCTGCTACCACCAGAGATCGGATACTCTGCAAACCCATCCTGCAGAATGTCACAGCAGTTCCCAGTGTCGTCGCTGTTTGCTGACAACTTGTTTGACACTTTACCTCTACTGCCTCTACTTCTCAATGGCATGGTTTAAGGCTGCAGCCAGAGCTCTGTCGGTTTCATCCGACTGTCACCCCGTGCAACCTCTAAGCTGTCATAGTTCATTGAGGTTTACGGGGTTTTGTGGCAGATGGTGGCATTGTCAGATGAGCCATGGGACGGGGTTCTGCGGCCTTGATGCACATGCAAACTTCATGAACCAACTCGACTGAATCTGGACTGATGCGCGAATTTTCAGAGAAAAAGCTTGGGCTGCAACCTGTGGCATCTCATGCATATCTAAGTGCGTTGCGTGACAAAGCAGTCTCGGAGAGACGGACGCACTCTCAATGCCCGAGGCCGTGCAAGTGAGACAGGCCGACAACCCAAGTGCCCCGGATCCCTAGCAGAAATCAAGCATGACAGATTCTGGAGTACTTGCAATGTTCTGTGTCTTAGCAGTTTAGCTTCTTCACGCACCGGTATGGAATGAATTTCAATCAGGGCAGGTGCTGCGATGCGAACAGTCTTCCAATATCATGACGGGCCGCATGCTCCGGAGGAGGCGGACTATTCTGGCAGCCTGGATGAGGCCCGAAACAAATGTGTCGAGGACTATCGCTGTGAGGTGGTGTGCTACCACCAGAAGACAGGAAAGACACAGCTGTACCAGAACTTCAACTTGGCGTTGAAGGGGCTGGGCGGATCCCAAACAGCCTGGAAGGATGTGCTTCAGAAAGCACCAGCCTGGTACGACAAGGACTGGACATGTCTCCAAGCCTCGCCCAGCTGTCGACGCAAGGCTGCGAAAACAGCTCGGAAGAAGGAGGAAGCGGGGCTGAAGGATATGTTGGAGGGTCTCGGCGAACTCCGTTTACTGCAGCAAAGCCTGCACCAGCCATCTCCACCAGCCTTTCAGACTCAAGGCGCCCTTAGCCACGACGCTGCCAACTTTCTGGGGTTGTTGAAATTCCCGATGGGCAAACAGGCACAGGAGCTTCGGGAGAAGTGCACAGACATTGCCTCCGAGGTGGCCCGAGCACGCGAGGTTCCCCAGCTGGAGCCCTTTTGCCAGAGGAAGGTTTGGGTTCATCGGCCCATCAAGGACTCTATGGGTCACTGGCAAGAGTGCTGCCAAGACCACGAGGGCTTCAAATGCAAGGACCGCTTCGTCGTCCCCTTGGATCATTGCAGCAACTGCCAAGGAGTTTGCTTGGAGAAGGGCCAGGAGCCTGGGCCCGTGCAGCCTGCAGGGGATGAGGGCGAGTGCCTCGAGCTGGGCGCACCGGGAAGTTGGAGCTCCGGATCTGGAGAAGTCGTGGAGTTGATGTCGGCTCGAGGCCCCACTCCAACAGCGCAGCTTCTCGCGGAGTGTTTGGGGAGGCCGGCCGTTCGACCGAGTCGACGGCGAAGAAGGGTCTTCCTTTGACGCGGAAAAAGAATTCGGTGGTCGTTTCTGGCAAGCAAAGGCCTACCAGGGTAGAGGTCAATGCTGTCACCACCTGCCCTCCGAGACGTCCAGCTTCCGCTTCCGCTAAGCCACTATGCACTGTCAAGGCAGCCTGATACATGAACAAGCAACAGAGTCTCCAAAAGCCGTAGAGCTAGAGCTTCCAGTCACCTGGCCCAGCAATGGAATTCACAGGCTTTGGGGACGTTTTTTCGAATCTTGCCAGCTTCGGCTGCTCAGGCAGTGCGGTTCCTGTGGCCAGGGCTAGGGTGCAACTGGCTGCAGGAGATCGAGGGACATGCCCGACTGTCCGGATGTTTCTGTTGCTTTCGTGTGCGTCGCTGATAGGACGCGTTCCCGCCAGCATTCGCAAGCTTGACGTCTGATCCTCTTTGACAGCTTTCTCTGTCTTGGCGCACGCATGTGTGTGTGTGTGCGCGCTGCTGAGTTTGACAGCCGAGGCCTCATCCAAATGGCTGGTCACCGCTGGACAGCTCTGCTCTCAGAGACGCAGAGCGTAGCTCAGCAGCCGAACGCTGCCTGTGGCGTCTTTCGATCTCAGGACAGCGGCTGTAGTCATCCGCCATGATATATTGAGCTTGGCTCCGAGCTGTATGCTTTACTCGGATGCCGGCTTGCCACGCGTATTCGAGTCCCCTATGTTCATGACGCTTTTTGGCAGATGCAGGTCCATACATCGTGCTAGGTGGCATCGCGGCATCACTTTTCACTGCGAAGATCAAGTATGGTGCCCAGCTGCTTTGCTTGCACAGCCATCACGAGCAGTGATGCGGTGCCCGGCTCTCACAGCATGCCTGACGTTCCTTGGAGCATCTTTAAGCGCCCTGCGATCGCAGCCGGCCTTCAGGCTCGGCCACATCAGGTCATCGATTCCGAAGCCACCCAGGGCCTGTGCAAGAGCCGGGCTCGCCAAGATGGGCGAGATCAAAGTATTCCAAGGCCGGCAGTTCGATCCTCTACTCATCAAGAAGGAGCTGCAAGGATTCAAGCAGGCCCCATGAGACTGGTAGGACACACGAGGCTTTTCGGAGCACTCTGAGGCACGGGAGAAGCAGGCGAAGGAGCAGCCGAAGAATAAATCACAGCAACTGATCAAGCAGGCGGAGCTGCAGTGGTGTCCCTCAAATCAGCAGCTCCATGGTTCCTGTGGCCCGCGCAACACTGCAAGATGTTTACGAGAAGGATTCGCGCTTGTCCTGAAATACGACCCATCCCGCTCGTTAACAGACAGCGTAGAAGCAGCCCGTACAAGAGAGGACGACTGTGAACTAGGCGAGGCGGCATGGATAATATCAGTTCGGCAAGAGCTGTTACGTGCCAGGTGGGAAAGTCGCCCTGCTGGGAGCGACGACTCCGTCGATCGATGAGTGAATTTTTCGATGAGGGTGCTGTCGTGTCTTTGACGAGCGTGGCAAGGTAAAATCAACAACGAATGGATAATTCGTAAGGGCCCTTCCTATGCGAGACGTGATGTGGTGGGCTTTCTCTTCGAGAGGGCGAGGAGTGCTTCAGCGTGGTCGAGGCAAGAGGTGCGGCAGATGGGCTTTCCCTCTGAATGGAAGGAGACCGGGGGTGGGTCTTCTGCACCTCAAGATCAGGCACTTTCTGCCAACCGGGTGCCGGAGCTGACGGTGCCGACAGCTCCCGCAAAGCATGAGCAGACCCGGCCATTGGAGAAATGGGAGAAAGAGGAAGCAATGCGGAAAAATCGGAGGCGGAACCATGATTCGACATGGAAGCTTTCTCTGGCTTTCTACCGAATCACAAGTTTTTTAACACCCGGCGACCCTTCAGGAGAAGAGGATTACCATGGCGGTCGGGCATGGTGAGACGGAACTCCTCAGTTTGTTCAAGGTTATGTTGGCCAATGTGCCGAATGCGAATTCATTTCGTTGGCAAGCATTCAAAGAGCACGGCGCACCCGCAGGTGACACGGACAAGAATTTCAGTTGGAAAACTGACGGAAATGCGGCTTTGGTTGCGACACTGTTGCTCAACACAGCTACATGTGACTTACTGCTTGCGGAAGTGGACCTGTCTCCGTCCCCTCCCCCCTCTTAGGCGCATCGTCAACCAGCGGAGACCACCAGGATCTCCGCTGACAGATCCCGGGATGCCCTCTTCCCATGCGCTTGTGGTTTGCTCAGAGACAGAAGCTACGATTTCATGCTTCTACTTTGGAGCCACTCTCTGGAGTCCTTCAGGTTGCGACCTTTATGTCGGTGGCATGGGCCACTCAAGTCCAGCCAGTGCCTTACTGTCTTGTTTGCCCCTGGTTCCGTATCAGCATGGACCTACGACGGGGTCTTGGATTGTAGGAAGCCGATGTGCAACTCTATTTGTGAGGAACTGCTCCTTTTAACAATTGTGCCAGCATGCCATTCGGTTGAGGCTTTTCTGGCTTTTGTGTGACACGTGCTCTCATGTCTAAACCCAAGGTCAGGAAGGACTTCAGCGCTGCTGTTGGCTTCTGCAATCTTGATTAGTGTGGGGCACCAAACGCCAGGCGGTTGCGCATCAGATTCCTCCATACGGCAACGAGTTCGGTCAGGTGTTGCGTGTCATTTGCGGGCACCACACTTGGGCAAAGCTGGCTACGTTTGCTATGCCGTGCTGCAACATGTGCACGCGCCACGCGTTCAGACGACGTTCTCCAAGCGCTAAGTACTGCCAGGCTCAGGTTGGCGTGGGTGCGACGGCAGGGACGCTTCTGTCCGTGGCCTGGATGCTGCTTGGCCAGGACGTCAACCCACGAGGGGAAGACAGCCCCATGGCCCCATGTTGCGTTTCAGTCTCAGTTTTGGATCGATGCCGTTGATGTGGCGCAGGACATCATCAGAAGCCCCACGAGTTTAGAAACGAAGGCCCTCCGAGATGTCCTTCAGTTGGGATTGGGCAACAGTAGCAATCGTATTGGCTTGTCATCTCAATCTCAGGTAGTGTATGCACTGTACATCATCTTCAGTGATCGGGCCCTGGTGTTTCTTTGGGCCATGGCCCGAGCTGGAAGCTTGGAGCTGAGCTGAGGCCCTCTTCCTTGCGAAGCAGTTTCGCAAGGGCCGTTCCCGCAAGAAGGAGGAAGCCATGTCGCCCAGTATGAGCTGAATCTGCAGGAGGGAAGTGGGGGGAATCGAGGGGCGGTGACGCAACGCTCAGCCTGCATGCTGAGTTTTAGCAGAGGTTCGGCTAGGCCTAGGCGGAAAAGTGCTGTGACATGGGTTCGTGCAAGTGGCCTGGTGTGCCGACTGCTTCTGGCAGTCTTGGTGGTTGTGGTGGTGGTAATGGTCGCCGTAGTCGTCGCAGCATTGGAGGTAGCACGAGCAGGAGTAGCACCTGTAAATAGTGGCATACAGTGGCAGTAGCAGTGGCAGTAATACAAGTAGCGGCAGTAGCAGCAGCAGTAGTAGTAGCAGCAGCAGCAGCAGCAGCAGCAGCAGCAGCAGCAGCAGCAGCGGCGGGAGCGGGAGCAGGAGCGGGAGCAGGAGCAGGAGCAGGAGCAGGAGCAGGAGGAGGAGGAGCAGCAGCAACAACAGCAGTAGAAGTAGAAATAGCAGCAGAAACAGAAGCAGAAGTGGAAGCAGAAGCAGAAGTAGTAGTAGTTGTCGTCGTCGCCGTCGCTGTCTCGTCGCAGTAACTGGAGTAGGGGAGCAGGAGTAGTGCAGCAGCAGCAGCCGCAGCAGCAGCAGGAGGAGGAGGAGTAGCAGTAGCAGTAGCAGTAGCAGTAGCAGTAGCAGTAGCAGTAGCAGTAAAGTGCCATGAGCGGCTCAGGC